GTCTCCCTGGAACGACATTCAGTCTGCACTTGTGTTGCTCAGATAGTGGCCTGATCAGATGTCTGTGCCATAGACTGTTCACCTCAAAAGGCCCTTTTCTTCTGTTTCCTACAGATTCAAGGGAGTCTGAAGTTGTTCTTTATTTGGGCCTCTGTGCAATCGACCATTTGCGATTGTGTTTTTGTACATGAGAAGACATAAGTATGAGTTTATTTACTGACCCAGTGGCCCTGAAAGGGAACATTTATGTAAGGCTGCTGTCTGTGACATAATAGTATCACCTCTAAAGGGAAACACTGTTGCTCAATTACCTTCGTTATGGGATGTTCAAACTAGCAGGTGTGATGTAACTGCTGCAAAGTGTAACTGGGTCACTGTGTTCATTAACATGGAGGTCAAATCTTAATCTCTCTTAATTACTGTCCCCAGTTGCGAAAAGACATGGGCACATGCAGAGCTGGTTGCACCACACCAGAGAGGGTGTAGCCCATCAGTATGATGACATGCCAGTGCCTATGGCATACAAACTATTATTATTATTAAATGACACGTTGCAATGCTGCGATTAAAAAAAAATTAACCACGGGCAAGGGGTCAATAAAGTAAAGTTTACATAATTTTGGCATGGACATTTGAATGAACAACATGACACATTTTCACCATGGATTGCGTACTCGCTATTGTTCTCCCAGAGGGACAAAAAGCAGAAGCGTCATCATTGTCCATTTTGCATTGTTCTTGATGCACTGGGTAGTGCCGCAGCAACTTCCATCTGTTATGAAACTGCCCCATGCTGGACAGTGCTATCTTTTCACATAAGCCTACTTACATCAAGAGTGTCCTCATCGGTGATAATATTCCCGGAAATGTGTCCCAGTTGAAAGTTATGGTTGCACCATGCAAACAGAAAATTTAGATTAAAATAGATGAAAAGCTTAAACTATAAAAAACTTTTGAACTGAAATAGATATGTTCAAGTTGAAGTACCAAAATTATTAAACTGAAACAAAATATTTAAAATGAATTAAAGCTGTATAAATGATAAAACAAATTTTATTAATAAATACTATAATATGATACAAATAAAATTGAAATACTGACCGCAAAGATTCGAATTTGAGATTTTTCTTATTCTATTTTACTATTCAACTGCTTTGCTTGCATGATAATTCGACTTACTAACACCTGTGCATTATATTGATGTCACCATTCACACCATTACATGGTCTAGTCCTGCTCGTCTCTGTTTTAACCTGTAAAATATTCATACTATTGCAACTCTGTGAAGCTCCTCCATTTTATGACTCATAACACGCACTTTACAACCTCGAGTTCCCACAGACGCTTTCGTGAATTAATTAGACTGTAAATTACAGGTTGGCTCCTGTCGTCACTAAAGGAAAAATTAAACCGCTCAACGCTCTGTCCCATTCCTACTACGCTAATGTTAGATCTTGTGTATTTATGTTTATACGCCACAATCATGACAAGATCCAGGATGTTTAAAAAAGGTCAAACAACAGTGGCCCTCTGAAATTAGTTCTCGTGGGTGTGGCACATTTGAAGGTTAGAGGATTTAAATTGTGGTTTCGTATACTTAAGGTATGTTTGGATGGGCTTGAATACGTGTGTGGCAAATGAGTATCAGATGATGTGTTTTGAAGCAATGAGAGTGCTGAGAAGTTATTTGCTTTACTTAGAGAGTGGGAGTGAGTGTTTGTGTGTGCGTAACTGTGTATTTTTGTGCATTTTGTCGCATGGGTGTGTGGAGGATATAATAAATGGCCGATACAAGTGAACCTACATAGACATTGTTATGGACATATAGTTTCACACAGATTTTATTCTTGTGAGTGTGCGAAGGTTTTATTTGTTGACAATGTTGAAAGGGTCTATGTGTGAGTAGAGGCAGGCAGAGTACACAGCTTTATTACTTGAGTAAAAGTACAGTTACCCCTTGCTAGATTTTACTCGAGTACAAGTAAAAGTACTACAGTCCGATGTTTACTTAAGTAAAAGTACTTGAGTGTCATGAGTAGGTTTTCTAAATATTGCATTACTACTGCCACAGTTCTTACATTTATGTATAGAAATGTCCTTTCATAACTGAACCTCTTGTTCAGATATGAAAAATGTTAATACCTTGGAGAATTTGAAAGGAATTGAAAGTAAAATCAAGTAATTTTCATCTTTTTACCAGGTTGCTTTATTTAACATTTCAGAAAATGAATTGATTCGTCCATGGTTTTGTCTCTTTATCTAAATCTGACCATTGAGTTGACTTTGGCGGAAAGCTGAAGGTGATCGCTGAATCTGATAGGCTGTCCCAATCAGTGGCACCTGCACAATCCAATCACGTTTGAGAGGGTAACAACAAATTGAGGGTTTCTGAGATTTTTCTTTTTCTTTTTTTAGAAGTAGTAACGAGTACTCACAGTTATGGATAGAAATGTAGTGGAGTAAAGAGTACAATATTTGCCTCTCAAATGTACTTGAGTAAAGTCATGAATACTCCCCAAAAATGGTACTTGAGTAAAGTACAGATCCCTCAAGTACTGTAATCAAGTAAAGGTACTCCGTTACTGTCCATCGTGCATTTTTGTATGTGTGTTTGTGCAAATGGTGGGAGCAAATCTGTCTGAAAGTGAGTGACAGAGATAGACAGTCTAGACTCACTCTGCCTGAGTTTTCTCTCACTTTCTCAGCGTTTTATAGTAGGGGGAAGGGACCCCAGCAAAGCTGTCGTCCCACACATAAATTTGGTATCACGTATACATGTTTCGTTTGAAGTTGTTTTGCTTTGGGGCCTTAAGGGGAAACCACAAAACAAAAGCAGCAGCAACAAGCTGTCTGGATCACTGTGTACTGTCTAATTTAACCAAGTAACGACTGAGGTGTCTGGATATTTTTCCTGTTCTTTGCTTTTCAAAAATTATGCAAAGTGCAGACACAGAACCCATACGTTTTTCAACGGTGGTTTCAAGACCTTTGTGGTGGCACTGCTCAGGGAGTGCAACGGCTGTTGAAAAGCTGGTAAAATAAGCAAAGCAGTTCGCACATTCATGGTGGAAGACACCAAATGAAATGGAACTGAAATGCATGCTGTATCTGACATGTGGGCCCTTTTGTGCACAAAGAAAGAGGGCGTCGGTACCACATCGAGGAAACCGCACCGAGATATATGGTACCATCTGGCTTTGGGTAGATTTGTGTCAAAGCCCACTTTTATTGCCTGAAGGGGAAGGGGTAGGGTGTAATTTCCCATGCTTTTGCTAGGCTCATTGCTAGTTTCAAGTTTGAGTACAAGTTGGGGCAGGGTACCAGAGTAGAGACTGTTAACCTGCCTAATTAAACTCGCTGTCTGGCTTTCCAACATGTGTTGGTAATGGGGGGAAGAAAAAACACTCTGCTAGGCCGTTTCGAGATGAGTGCCAGTTCCACATAAACCAGCGAGTATGTGTATGTGTTTGTGTGTCCATCAGTTATCTCAATAATGAGTCAGTAAATCCCATAAGCCTCTTTGGAGCAGTCAAAATGATACATGTCCCCCATGTATTCTCATGATTCTCCAATTAGCATGATGCAATGCTTACTGGACTGGAACATATGGTTCATTTTTAATGCAGTGCATTCCTGGTTTTAATGTGTGGGCTTTTCACTCAGCTTAGCCATTGTAAAAGGGGAAAAAAAAAGTTTTTGGAAGACTTTTCCTTCTATAGGAGAGGATTAGCTCACTCTCACGAGCCGATGCTAAATAGCTGTGCCACATCAGGTCTTTCACGTCTGTTTAAAGACTGTTCATTTTGGGATTTAAAAGCCATCCGTGGAAGGTAAACCCCTGCATGACCTGGACCTGAATGGTCTGGGTCATTCACCGTTGTTTTTAGTGTGAACTGATCTCGATTCTGTGGTGGTTTAGCTGTTCTAGTGTGGCTTGTATGGGACCTGTGTGGCTTTTGTGCTCTGTTCTAGGTTTGCCTTTTCTTTAGTGAATGCTACACATTAGCATACCAAGAGAAAACACAAAACTGCTTCAACATCAGTGTAAAAGAGCATATTATACCAATGAGGCATGTCGGCACGGGCTTAACGGGGCCCACATAGAATAAAAAGGCCCCAGTAGGACTTTCTTTATTGAAAGAGTTCATTGTCCACTTAAGGACTGAAAGAAAAAGAAATAGGTTCACATCAGTTGGCACCGCTGGCCCTATTTATCGCTGTTAGCGACACGTGGTGGTGTTTATGATGTGGCCTCCTTAACACCTTGTTTTTTACTTTTTCAAAAACAGATTCAAAGTGAACTCTCAACAATCACATTTTCTGAAGCATAGCTGCAACTTATTTGTAGATGCTTGCAGTGTTGTAGTCGAGACCACCTCACTCGAGTCCGAGTCGAGACCGAGACCAGAGAGAGTCGAGTCCGAGTCAAGACCGAGTCCATAGACGGTCGAGTCCGAGTCGAGACCAGTGAGGGTTGATTACCTAATTTACTTTTATTTACTTAGAGCAATCCTTTTTTTTTTTTTTTTTTTGCTGAATTTACTTAGAGTTTAAAAATTATGATCAGTTTAGGGTAAAAAGGCCACATAGTAGGTGGTGTTAAAAGTAATTTTATTACAATTTGTCATGCGCAGTTGTGCACTAGAAAATCACCAATCACTGGGTGTGTCAATCAATTTAAAGAAATATTTTATTAACATACATTAATAATCGTGAAATATATTTTGAATTGAACTCAAGTGGACTAGGGAATAAGTCCGAGTCCTAAAAAAAAAATGTTAGAGTACGAGTCAATTCCGAGTCTAAATGCACACGAGTCCATGGCAAGACCAAGACCATTAAAATATGGTCTCGAGACCGAGTCCGAGTCTCGAGTACTACAACACTGGATGCTTGTATATCTTCTGGTTTGAAAGCATCACATATGTCTGACTGATCATGAATCTATGTAATAACTCTAACAGCTGTGCGCTCTGCTTGCTTTTTTGTGTTTGTCACAGGAGAGCGCCCCTTTCCTTGCACCTGGACCGACTGCAGTAAGAAGTTTGCTCGCTCTGATGAGCTGGCACGGCACTATCGCACCCACACGGGAGAGAAGAAGTTCGGCTGCCCCCTCTGCGACAAGCGATTCATGAGGAGCGACCACCTGATGAAACATGCACGCCGTCACTCCGACTTCCAGCCGGCCATGCTGAAGAGGCAGCATAGCGGTGGCAACGCCACCGTTTCGGGCAGCACGCGCCCCGGCTCCCTCAGCGATTACAGTCGATCCGATGCCTCAAGCCCCACCCTTAGCCCCGCCCTCAGCCCAGCCAACTCGCCTTAACCTGGCCGCACTTTCTGCCCACAGCGCCTGGGTCTCCAGGCTGATTTTTTTCTTCTCTATCCATTGTTTTTCTTTCCCCCCAAAAAATAACCGGCGTAATAAGCACCCATGCTAAACCCCGTCGCTTGCTGTGGTGTACTGTACTGTACATAACTGCTTCTTGTAGTGCAATTTTCTTGTGCAACCCCTAAAAGAGAAAAAAACAAAAAAGAAAATGCCTTTTCCACATGGCAATATTTACATGATGTACCATATGTCTGTATTTTTATAGCTTGTGGCCACCGCCTCTTTCCATTACGCTTTTTTTTTTTTTTTGCTGATTCTTTCATATACAACCGCTCTGTTCAAGTGAACTAAAAAGTTGAAAGGTTTGACAGGTAAAGATGTTTCTTTTTTTTCTTTTTTTTAATTTAAAACGGGTGAGGGAGAGGGGCACACACACACCTCAGGATTCAGAACAGTTTTTTTTCTCCTTTAATACTCACATTGACTGCACAATACAAGCATCACTTTACTCCGAAATTCAACAGAGGTTGAATTTTGCGCCCTGCTCAGGGATGGCCTCGTTAGCTTGAAAGAATGAACATGATGAAGATAAACATACATTAAGAAACAGCCTTACACTTGGACAAAAGGAACTTTTGCACTCTTTTTTTTTTTTGAGTTGGTCGGTTTTCACATCAGGGGAAGTAAATTCTGGGTTTTGACAGTCATTCATACTCTTTAATGTTTGTAAATCGTTCTTTTAAAGAGAGTGGCAGAACCACTCACCAGATACAAAGGGTTAGAGGGTAATTCTGTCTTGAGACTGGAAATTACTTCATTTTCAACATCTCTATCTCCCGATAACCCTGTACTCGCAAAGAGCTGTGCTGTTTCAAAGGGAATCCTCTCAATATAGCATGAATGTCGTGATCAATCCACTTTTACATGCTCGAGCCACCCAATGAAGAGAACAGACAGCACCACTTCTCTCAGTGGACTAAACTAAACTCCCCTTGAAAATTTGGAGGCTGAAGTTTCAAAGCAGCTGTTTCCTCAATAAAAACAGCACAATCATCAACTTCAGGGTTTTTACTAAAGTACGACACATTCAAAGGCACTCGTCTGGATGTGCACCTACTTCAGATAAAAAATAAAGACAAAAAAAGCACATGAGCAGAATCCACCAAAGACCAAGGTGTGAACGAGAGAACTCTTTTTAGGAAGAGGGAAGGGAGGGAGGGATGTTGGCATTCTCTCAGGTAACATCAGAAGTCCATCTGCAGAGGCCTTCCACTTAGGAAACTGCATCATCCTACACAGGGCTATTCATAGCACACTAGCCAGGGAGACGAGAGCATTACAGTGGAGCTTTACGCACTCTGTCTCGCTCACTCTAGCTGACGAGAAGGAGTGGGCGTATGAGAGAGATGGATGGAGGGCCAATGTAAAAGTTTAAAAGAAAGATATCAGTGTCATAACCAGGTGCCATGCAACAATTAGTAAGGTGATAGTAAAGGATTATTATACAGCTATGTGAATCTGGAATTTGGGCCAATGAGATTGCAAAACAAACGAAAATCAAAACCATGGAATTGACATGGCTTATTAATCAGCCTGGTCTGTCGGTAATCACAAAATGGAGAAATTTTGACAGAATAATTGTCCTCGGCTGCATTTTTCAAAAACCTGGAAAGCCTAAGTAGATCGTAGAGTCCCCTGGTGCCAATGATTTCTAAACTCTATTTAGGCTTATTTATAAGATACTGTTATCATCCGATACCGATAATCTCAAAGTTACCAAATGATTAATCTGACTAATCGGCCTAGCCAATATATATTTATATATATATTCGCCTGTCGGACACTGTTATCGCCAGAATGACCAATTATCTGCAGATTAACTGGCCTTGCTGATATATCAGTCGATCAGTTAGGACACAGATAATACAACAACTCAATGTGAATTAGATTGCCATAGTGTGTAGGCCAACTCACTTTATGGTGAGGAGAGCAACAGGCCTCCATGAGAACAAAGAGTGCTATCTGCAGGAGGCAGGAAAGAGGGGGTTGACCCATAGCGAGACAGATAAAGACTGAAGCTTTATCTGGAGCTGAGCACTCCAGCAGAAGAAACACCCAGTCAGCTCCCTCTCTCTCTCACACACAAACCTCCCTCCCCTCTGCACTACTCCCCTCTCACCCGCCAACAGCATCCCACAATGCATTGCAGGAGCTTAAAGAGGGAAAATGGCTTCGTCTGATTGGATAGCATCCAAGCAGCCGGCGGGTGGGGGGTTGTAATAGAGGAAGTTCAGGCCCAAATCATAACGTCTCACCGACAATGGTCTCATCTCAATGAGATGTTATCAGTGTTTTTTTCCCCCTCCAGTTCGCCACTGTCGTTTTCTCAGAAGAGATCAGTCACACTTTCCTTAAAAGACTGTACTTTTCCACAAGCACAGGGAAACAATCGCACATCCTTTTTTTTTTTTTTTTTTTTACTGTTACGGAGCACTGATGCATCAGTGTGTCCACTCGTTACCTCAATGAACAGCTGCTTTCAAACTTAACTCAATAAAAACGGGACTTTAGGCATTACTCTTCGATTTGTACATATTCATACATATCACTTAAACAGTGAATTTGCCGTCCTTTGTCGCTTCAGCCTCAGAGGATGAAGGGACAGCATGAGAAACTGTCGACCGGGCCTTACTCGCTCAGGCGAAAGGCATACAAGACCCTCCAGGAACTGAGGCACCACTATCAAAACTGTTGTGGTGCCGCCTCATTCACGGTCTCACTTTCCCACGCGCAATGTTCCAAAAGTGACACTTTAATATTCGTTTAGGAACAGTTCTTCAATTTATATTCATAAGCTCATTAGTCAAAACCAGCCATCTTGTCTTGTCTCGTCTCTTGCACGTTTTCCTTGCACACCCTCCATGCCCAGTGCGGGGAGACCAGCATCAGAGCCACCCAGCTGGACGAGCGCTCCGGGGTTTGAGGAGCAGGTGGGGAGGCCTGTGAATGCCAGGCCTTGTCCCCCCTTTATCCTTCCTAACAGTCCCCCATCCCCCTCCCAGGGCCTCTCTCATAGCCTGAAAAAGAAGAAAAAAAACATAATCACGGCTTTCAGCTAAAGAAAACAGCCCTAATCAAAATAAACAGTGCCACGGCGGCATTATTTCTGCAATAAACCCACCCGTAAAGCCGTCTAGCTGGGGTTGCACACTCCCCTTTCAGATGCGACGTCAACCATCGCCATTGCGACTTTGCCAACTTTAGCGTATTTCTCGTCCAGAATTTCACATCAGCTTTACTTCCAAAGAAAGCTGGCCACATATGTTCACTGTGTGGAAGAATCTTTACTCATTTGTAGACATTTTACATTAGAATCTGTTCAGCCGCCCTTTGTATCTGCAAATTCCCCCAACTGCTGGTTAGGAGAGGGTATTTCAGGGAATACAAGGGCGGAATAAGACCAACCTCCTCTTCATTAGTACTTCTCAAACCTGGTAAAACATGTTGGGTATCGTTCAGTGAACCTCGAAAACCTGAAACCAACAGAAGTCTCTCGCATTTGGGTACTGATTAGATAGAGTATACATGACTAAGTATATATTTTTTTTTCCTTACAATACTTACTGAAATGAATATTTTCTCAATGGAAATCCAGTCAGCCCGGGTTAGTGTGGATTACATGTAAAACCGAACACGTGTGCTTATGTTTCTGTATTTTTCACTGTACCGATACTACTTGAATGCGAAGCAAGACCATTGAACACAGGTGGAAACAAGTCAAACTGTACCTGCTAAGTTTCTCGGCTTACAACCCATGGATGTACTCATTTCCCTTTATTTGTTATATTTCTGCATTGTGGTGTAATTTTTTTTCTGATTTTCTTTGTGTTCAGATCTTAGCTGTTATTATCATAATTATTATTATTATTATTACTGATATTTCTTGCAAAGTTTGTTAGTGTTTCATAAGGCTTTCTTTTCGGTCTGTTGCAACGATGCTAGTAAATTTGGACACTGAAAGCTCTTTGTCAGGATATAGATGTATAACCACCAAATTCAGAAACATGGACGGTAAAAGGTGGTTTTAGTTGGAAAAAAAAGGGAAATATCTTGACTTCTCAAAAGCATTGCGTGAGACTGAGTGCGATTCGCACAATCAAGTTCGATATCGCATTACCATAGAGACCACAGCATTGTGAGTAGATAGTCACTTTCATGTTTTATTGTTTTCTTTGTTATTTAACGTTAGAATTCCACCTATGTGTTAATTTTTTTTTCTGTCATGTATTTTTTCAATCTCATACCTCTAAAAAATCAAGAAGGTTATGAAAATGATTTTTTTTTTTGTTGATGGGGTGGGGTAGGGGAATTCATATCTGAAAGAATTGTAAATTTAAAACAATATTTTTGATGAATTATCAGGGTCTTATGAGCCACAGAGCATCATATTGTAAGCGAATCATCTTTCGTGAAACTAATTTTACCAGTGGATTGCATAAACCCACACTCCCGACGATTTGTTTTGTATAAGGCTATTTGTTCACAACATCCAATAATGATAATCCTACATTGTACAAACTGCTTGTTAGTTCAATAAAACGTGCCAAAGGCATTAGAAGGGTGATTTTATTTGATCATATACAGTGATAGTCAAGATAAATACGACCTTGTACAGTTTTCTATGAGCGATGTACGTTTTTATGTGTATGTAGCGGGGTGAATGATGTTTTTAGAGTTCTAATTTTGCCGTGATCTCGATGTAGTTTTTGTTTCCTTTAGTTGCTTTTCTTCATTTGTCATTGTTGTACAGAACAAATGCACATACTAGTAAAAGTGAAAACTCGGATATTAACCTGTCCACCATCCTACGTGAAAGCTCTACCATTCCAAAGGATTGCAATTACATTTGCTATAAATATGCTGCTTATATCCAACCAATGCATCAAAGCTTAATTTCTTTATGTATTTATTTTGCAATTACTCTTTTTGACTGTGATATATGTATTACATGACTTTTGTTACTATAGTTCAATTTGGTACTGTGTTCCTCTTTGCTGTCCTTCTGACGTTTATTTGTCTGTAAACTTGCTTCATACTCTCTGTACCTAAAGAAACAGCCATGTTCTGATACATTAAACAGAACCCTTGACCCTTTCAGAATAGAGAACAGACAAGATGGCAAGAAGTGTGCAGTTATCAGTTCCAATATTGTCTTCCCATGCAAAATAAGGTCAGTTTGAATAACTGATGTTCTCAGTGCTGAAGGAGGGTTTACTTTAAAGAGCTGTAGGATGCGATTGCCAAGGATGCTGTAGTGCCACGACAAGTAATTTCGCCCTCGCTTTTGGCATTGGGTGCATTGGAAGTCTCTCATTGAATTATTGTTTTAAAGACGTTACCAAAGGCTTCAGGATCGAAATAATGAATGTTCATGTTAGTTGGGAAGTTTCAGAAGAATTTTTTTTTTTTTTGCTGAAAGATTCTCATGCACCCTGAACTCATTTTTAGTGGAATCAATCAAACTAGGCTGTTTTCAATATGGATATGCAAAATCGATTTGGTTAACCGTTATTTACACATTCTAAGCCATTGGAAAGGCTTTTTTGATTTAATATAGTCCCAAGGTACCTGGGAATAAATCCACATACATTGTCTTTATAGTCCCACGGTGCAGTCAAAGATCTCGTACTGGTGAAAGTTACACTGTGTTTTTGCAGTTAGATGTTTCTCCAAAGAACCTATGGATGTTTAAATGCCATTCAGTGATTGTGTATCCAGGTTTAACAAAGCTTCAGACATTGACACGCTTCAGGAATCACTTTAGAAATGGATATTTACAATGTCATGGGCTGAAAAGTTTAGGTCTGGGTGGTAACCTCTAATGGTTGATGTGGATTGAAGTCTTAGCCGTGGCTTGGTTTCGACTGTTGTTTATGTTTTGTCTCTTGCTCCGCTCAGGAGACACTAACTGCTTTTGAGGGCTGTGGTCATTTCTGTTAGTCTGGTCGTCTGCCAAATCGTGTGGTTGGGTTCGCACAACCTCACGCCTGTAAAAAGCAACCCATTTGTCTCTGAACCCCAGGTGTGGTGACCTAACTCCCCTAATTTAGGGAGAATCACGCAGACGACCCCCAACCGAACAGCGAAACTCATTTCAAATTGATACGCCGACATTTCCCATATGATTAAACCCCGGTCTGAAAATAAGACACTGTGAAAGAGCCATCCGAAAGACTTTCTCTCCGACACCTGTGAAATCATGTGTTCTTTGTTCCGGATACGGGAACAAAATAATTTCAAATTCCTCCCTCTTCATACATACCAGTTTAGCACGTTGTGTGCTAACACTCTCCTATTGTAGAGATCTCAATAAATGTTGTATATTGAATCGTAATGAGGCACTAGCGGCCTCATGCTGTCCTGTAGACGTTCGCCGCGTGAACTCGACTTGCCTTCCTAATGTACGTATTCGTCTGTATTTTAACAATCTCTTTTAACGACACCGTGTGATGCCTGCTCCAGTGACTACATTGCGCTGGGTTTCTATTTCCCAGCACCTCTGTACTTTGTACAATAGCTCTTCTTTAGCAATGGCCAGTTCTGTTCTCCATAACCTCATTCAAGACGACTGCCGCATAATGAAACTATTTTTGATTTTATTTTGATTTGCAATCAACCAAATCACTACAGTGAAGTATTACAGTTGTACAGTTCCTTGAATTATTCAGATTATATTATTGTTGCTGGTCTATGGTTGCTCTGCTGTATCTTTTTATGACCTACTTTTTTTTTTTTTTTTACATGTTAGACAATATTGTGACTATGTCCTATGCAAATATGAGAATTAACAAGAATTTGTCAAATAATGTATGTTGTCTGTCTTAACTTGTATGCATGAAATAGTGAAGTTTACATTTGAGAATAAATTCATAAATAAGAAGCATTACTAGGATTGTCTCGTTTTTTTTTTGTTTACCAAGTGTATTTTTTAAATTTATTTTGTACAATATAGATTTGATTTTAATGTTTAAGCACAGCTATTTAAAATTTTTAAATAAATATAATATTTTCATATTTTTATTACAAACATATTTAATTGAATCCAAGCTTTACATTAATTTGAATAAATTATTAAAAAAAATTAATATGTAATTTTAAAATGTTGATATATTAAATCTCCAGTTTTTTTTAATTTATCAGCTATTTTTCAGTACTTATTTTATAGATTATTTTCAGCTCATATTTAAATCTATAAAATGTCATATTTTTAAATACATTTAAAATTTAAATGATTTTATAATTTTATTTTATTTAAAGAAATGCATCTTTCATGTTAATGCATGCCTTTATTATTAGATTTATTTTTTTACCCATATAATAAGTATATTTTACAGTCAACCTGTTTTCACAGTACAAACCTGGATAGGATGATGATATCAAAATTTGTTTTATAAGTAAAAGTTGGCAAACAGATTTATACTTATCCAAGTTATCTGAATTAAGGCTAGAAATGACTTGCTTACTTGTATGCTCAGTAGGCCTAACTTCAATACAGGCTGTACTCCTTGCTGATACCCTTGACATACACAGTATTTGCCAGCTCTGAGCACATTGCAGTCCCTGGCTCTGAATTTCAAAAGAAGAGCACAATTCTAGGCAGACGTAGCATCACATATTCACCAAACACTTTAGTGCACAGCCAATGGCTGCACTTGTTGCTCAGCAGGATCCCAATAAGAACTAAGAACAGAGAGAAGCCTGTTGTGTAAGAACGATGTGTTCCGAAACATCCGTCTGCAGGAAGTAGCCTGCAGTTTTTTTTTTACATTTGTGCACTCATGCAAATTATTACTGTAACTGATGCAGGGACATGTCAACAGAGACCACAAAACAGGTGGCATTTGTGTTTTCTTTTACATTTGCAACACTGAACAAGGCCGGTGTTGCATATAGAGGGTGAAGATGGTGAGATATCAAATGATCAATGTGCCTGGAACAATGCTATGTGTGTAAAATCATAATATTTTTCTCACAACTTAAAATCTGGACCATTGCAATATCAAATATGGGCTGATTCAAAACTAGAGAATGAGTGGCCCACATTTTGTCCCACTCAGTTATGTAATGAGCAACACGTTCAAAATTCACAACCACCCACAGTGAGTGGCCTTAACTTTTCTGGTTATTCTCATTTTCAAGCTTCTTAACAAGAATGAAAATGCTAAAAATATGCTGAGAGAAGGCTAGTGTGTTCTTACATCTGCTCACCTTCTGTCATTCTGTCCATGAGACACTTGAGCTTTCTCCTACTTTACCCCTCTTTCTATATCAGAGACACAAACTTAGTTTCACACTCTACAACGTCTGTGAATTTAAACTGTTTTTGATCTAAAACTTTTGAACGGTAGTGTATGCATAGATATCCATAATAAAGGCTAGACGTTTCGTCTGCGCTGCTGGCCAATGGAGGTCAACGTCATGGTCAACGTCCGCACCTGATGGCCATCTTGTCACAGGCAGCTCACTCACTCTTAACACTGTGTTTAATGGTGCATGTACTTTTTCAAACGGTTTGGTTTGTTATAAACGTCAGAGATGTAGTTATGATGCACTCGATGATGGTGAAATCCGACCTCCGTGTGGAGCATTGGCTGTTGTCAGAATCCTTGCGCATTCAAAAATTTCACTGGATTGTTACAATTAATGGCACAATGGGCTCTATGCACGGCGTTATTTCCGGTGAAGGTGTAAGGATGCTCGATAACTTCCGCCGATCATAGAGTCCAATGCAATAGCGAGAATTTATATTGAATTTTAAACTCCATGGTTATACTAATGAAACGTTAGTCACAAAAACAGATGAAACAGGCACCCCTCGTTGTGTGCTTCTTTTTAAATTATATTAAATAAACATAACTATATATAAAATTACATCTAAACGGTCAGGGGATCTCTGGATAACGTATGTTTCGTTTCAAAGACGGGAGGACAGTAAATATTGAAGACTCTGCCATAATCCCGTTTTCTCCGGTTTTCCTCCGCTTTAATCTACACAACCGGAAATGGACGAGCATCCTTGCGTCAAATGCGGAACTTATGTGTGCATATAGCCCATTAATGTCTGGAAATGTAAACTGATATTTCCTACTGAGACACTACAACAAAATATATAAATAACTGGCTTAAAACTTTTAAGCCAGTTATTTATATATTTTGTTAAGTTAAAACCATTGAGGCGAAAATACTAGTGTGCCTAAGACTTCTGCACAGTACTATATATATATATATATATATATATATATATATAGCCTCTAATGGACAAGGTTGTCTTTGTCATAACTTTATGAAATTACACGAAGTTACACAATTTAATTTAATAATAAATTAATTTAACTGAAATCATATTTAAAATGTATGTAAAGGTAGGGTCTGACCATAATTAACTTGAAATAATAAAATAAAAACTGATATGATATTTAAGTATGAATAAACGAACTTATTAAAACATTTGTGATTTACCCTTTGACCTGCCGCGCCATTTTAAACGATGTCAGACAATTCTCATCCCATATTTTCTGTTGTATATTGTAAGTTCCGTGTAATAACACGGCGTTCCTTAATCAAACAGAGAGAACACTGGAATTAATGTAGACTGTCTCTATCACCAGTGGGAGGCAGCAATGCACTAACAGTGCCGGAAAGGAATAGAAGAAGAAGAAGTTTTCATGACGCGTCATCAATCCGGAAGTCGGCCATTTTGGAGGCAGTGAACATAAACAAAGCCACTGAACTGAACGGACTAGCAAATTTGTCTGATTATTTCTGCTGAACAATGGTCGAGTTTTGGTCTATACCAATCGGTCGCATCTGGAAAAGACCTTTCAAGTTCTATAGGCTGCCAAAAGTTAAAGAGAAGAGTGCAAAAAACTGATGAAAGAAGGCGTTTGTGGTTGAGAGAGGCACAGCATCAGCTCATCAGCCACATGTCCAAATGAAGCTTTGACCATGGCTAAAATGTTGACGTATTAACTGTGGCTACATTCACACTGTGAGTCCAAATCCGATTATATTAGTTTTTTCTCGGTTTTTTTAAACGTAACAAACAATACAGTAGTACAATTTCAGTGGCACATAACAGTGCAATCCATGCTGTTGTTTACATCCGAGTGCCTCCATAATGGCCACTCATCCGGGTTCACAATGAACGAATCGTTCATGACCGATCCACCACTAAGGTGTGATGAGAATGATTGTACAAACAAAGCCCGCTGCGAGATGGACTTCACGCGAGCAGAACTCTTCCCGCATAAGGTGAGTGGATCTTTTCCCAAAGCTTCCGGTCTCACCCTCAATCTTGGCAAATGTGAACTGTTACCAGTGAATAACTGCTCTGCTTCCGTAGTGTGTAATATCCTTGTAAGAGATTCAGTCACGTATCTAGGTGTTCAAATCACTAAAGATAGAAAAGCCAGAGGTAAATTAAACTTTTCTCCCCTCATTGGAAATATTCAAAAGGTTTTCAACCGATGGTTACAGAGATCTTTCTTTGAAAGGCAGAGTTCTAATCACCAAGACGGAAGGTATTTCTCGTTTAACTTATGCTGCTCAGTCATTACATGTAGATAACTCCTTTTGTAAATCTGTCGATAAGATGCTATTTAATTTTTTTTGAAAAATAAAACTCAGTATATTATTCGTAAGTCTGTAGTTCTGAATTCTTACGGCAAAGGGGGATTACATTTCATAGACGTTAGCTCTCTCAACAACACATTCAAGATAAATTGGATCAAGCAATATCTCAAAAACCCTACTTCCATTTGGAATTTTATTTCTCATTATGTCTTTTCACAGTTAGGTGGCCTAAAATTTATCCTGCTTTGTAACTTTAAAATACAAAAAAATCCCAGTTAAACGCTCCAATTTCCACCAACAGGCTCTTTTGGCATGGGCTTTGCTGTACAAGCATAACTTCTCTCCACAGAGGTGCTATATATGGAACAATTTTAATATTGTTTATAAGAACAAGTCGCTTTTTTACGATAATTGGTTCAACAATGGTATTTTATTAGTCAGTCAACTCTTTAATAAGAATGGTCTACTATTCAGTTATTCAGAATTTCTTGCCAAATATAAGAGTCCAGTAAGCCCAAGAGAATTTTCAATAGTTTTTGATGCTGTGCCCTCAGGTCTTCGGATGTTATTTAGGTCATGTGATATCTCTAGCCTCACCAACAAAAAATGTCCTTTCCCATGTTCACTGCATGGTTACTACCTTATTCCACAATTGAACCTGACAGATTTTTACATGCAATAAAAATGATCAAGCTGCTGGCTTCAACATGAAATATCTTTCATTACCTTTGGTCTTTCATGGTTTACACAAGTGATTGAAGTGTGATTTCTAAAACCAACCTTTGTATCAAATGTTTTTACATTTTTATTCGTGCATTTTATTTGTATAGTTTTTTTTAAGGTGCTGTTTACAAGAAATGTATTTCAATTAATCATAAATTTTGTGCCTTTTGATCAAATGGTAAGACCAGATGTTTCACCATTTTGAGTGTTCTGACCATAAATGAAAAACAAATTAAATGCAGGTTCTTTTAAGATGCAGAAATTTCAACTTCAATGACTGCTTTTAAATGTTTATTATTCTTGTCTGTCTTGCAGTACAATCTGGTCGTGGTGCAGGTGAGTTTGCTTCGGTGTAAGACTTTGAATGGAGCCAATGCGACTGACCGACCGACCGATCGACGGGAGCAGGGACGTGCACAGGGGGGTTGCTCAGGTTGCCCGGGCAACTGCCCATATGCCCTTCTCGACTCAGGTTGCCCTTCCGAGGAAAAAAAAAATCGTACAATGGATGTAGAATTTCACGTAGGCCTAGACAAAAATAATATAAAAATCGCAAAGCCTCATTCACTTCAAAAAAAAAAAAGTGAAAGTCAAACTGTTTCCACGAGACCATAGACCACTGCACGCGACCGGTGCGGTAAGGCACCGCAAATTACTCAGGCCGCGCCTCCATCTCGTGTCGCGCGCTAATTAATGTGTAAGAAGTCCATGACAAAATGAAGCGAAACTATCCTTCTCGTCACGAAAAGAGGAAGAAGAAAAACATGAAGAGTGAATTGCGGGAACAGCAGTCAGGTAAACTTGTGTTCTCTCCTCTCTAGTGTCAGCAAAGTTTGATGGTTTGTCTGGGCAGGCAGTGCATCTCTTGCATCACTTTTTGCCTGACAAAAGTGAGAGTAAAATACCATTATTTATTACGTTTTGTTTTTGATGAACGACAAAGTGCAACAACAGTGTTTGTTTACTGGAGCTCGGAAAACATAACCGCGTCGCGTGTGTTGCGTTCATATGCGCGTGCACGAAATGAAACTCGCATTTTTCAAGCAGAAATGTGGAGACCAGAGAAATACTGTACAATACGTGAATGATGGCACTCCCAATCAAAGTACACATTATAAAGACACTGATTATCTAGTCTCAGTGTAGTTAAAACCTCTAAACAACTGCACTAATTATGCAAGATATACAATCTATTGGCAATTTGACATTGATTGACTATTGATTTATAGGCTATATTGAATTTAAAATGATGATTAGATGGACATTCTGGTCAATATGAATGCAAATCCCTCCGTAAATAACCATAAATCAAGATTTGCTTCAACATGCATAAAAATAAAATAAAAATCATAGGCTACTGATTCCGAAAATACCCTGGCTGTAGAGAGAACCAAAGTTAATCCCAAAAGCCAAAGTTCAGGGTTGTACTTTATTATTTTCTTCTTGTTTATGTTTACGTTAATATTCACTTAACATTCTATAAAAATGCTTTATTCAGTAAATATTGTTTGTTTGAACTTCATTCTGTTCTATATTGTTGTACTTATTCTTTGACTGTTTTGTTTAAAGGAGGGAGGATTGTATTGGGCGGTATTGAGTGGCAATGGCAAATGGTTTACATGGCTCATGGCATCACAGATCAGGTAGAGGGCCCCTTAGCAGAATTTTGCTTAGGGCCCCAGGGGGAGGTCAGGATTGGCAAAAAAAGAATTGTATTTTTTCCCAAAATCGAAGCGTTTTTTTATTTTTTCCATTTAATCCAGATTATTTCTTTTCAAATAAATAAATACATAAATAATAATTTAAAAAACAATAAACAACAATATGAGGAACTATTTTGCTCATTTGTCTCATCTCTGACATTTTGCAATCTTTATAAATAATTATATAACCATAATATAATATAAGATGAGGCATTGCGTTTGGACATAAACAAGGCCAGATAAGGCAATTTGGAAGGGGACAAATTCAACTGAATATATTCCTTCATATAGCCCGTGAGGGGGAGGGGGGGGGGTGCCCTTTTTTCAGATCAGAGCAACTGCCCCTCAAAATTCCTGTGCACGTCCCTGGACGGGAGTCAGCTGGGGCCCCTGAGTCTGTGGCACCAACCGCCATCCCATAATTCCACTGTCTACAGACCCTTCCAGAGCTGAGATATTGAGATCCCACGTAGCATTTATGCCATTATAAATATCTCAATATCTCAGCTCTGGAAGGGTCTAGAGCCTCCATTTTTGCACTCAGGTCTAAGTCCCATGGCCCTCTATCAGAATCCAGAGTTTCAAGAAGATTGGAGAAACTTATTTTTTCGCACCAAAAAAAAAAAAAAAAAAAAACGACAGGGGTAACACTCGTTTTTTGGGGGGTCGAAATTTTGAGTTTCTCTGATCTTCTTGAAACTCTGGGTTCTGATAGAGGGCCATTGGACTTAGACCTGAGTGTCTCATACTCATCTATCCCAGGAGGCCACGCGAGAGGATACGTCAATATCAACATCGCGGAGATCAGTGACGCGAGGGTTTTCAAATGTGAGTAAACACGGTTCCATTGTGTTTAAATCGGATGTGTTAAACTACTATAGAGTAAAGGTTTTAACTGTTGAAGTTCTAAAGGAGTTAGACTGTATAGTATATTTGTGATTTTGCTGTAAACGCATGTTTTATTATGTATAGCTAACAGGAGAGCTTCAGAAACCATAAAGTTACGTTTCCAAAGTGGATTTACATAACCATACATCTTAAACACGCTTATTTAAAATGTCTATTTACATCAGGAAGGAAAATATTGTACAAGTATTGCAGGTGAGCACATCCCAACATGAAAAATACATGTGTGTGCTATTATGTAGGATAATTCACTGTTGTCAACACTGCTTACATTAGAAAAATATGTGCTGTAAATAAACACATCTATAAAGCAACTAAACATGATATATATTTAATTTGTCCCTTATTAGTGTTGATGTATTGAGGAACATTTAAGTTGGATTAAAAGTGAGTTAACACATCAACCTCAGCATGTAAATTCAGTGTTGAGCTCATAATGTGAATCTTGTCTGTATGTTACAGGGACAGAAGAACACGCTTGTGTTATCCGGTGGAGAGAGGCTCATGATGCTGAATGCGGTCATCAAATGGCTCTGAGTAAGTATACTACAGAAATGGATAACAAAATCTATTAAATATTAAGTTGTAGTTTATTTGAATGATTGTAATTTCAAACTGAGAAATTACAACACCTTTCTGAATCTTGATTTCTGCATTTGCCGCAGAGCTTTTGTGGTGGAGCAGGACCTGCAAGGAAAGATGATGGCAGCATTTGTTGGGGAAAAAAAAGGTTTCAGGGATTTTACTCAAATATAAAGTAAGGCTATTTTT